CGAACATTCCCAGTAAAGCAGTGAATTCACATTTGTTTAATCATATGCATGCCCCAGTTCTGCTGTTGCTGATGATTCCTTCCTGTAATAGAGGTCTATAAAATCAGGAATGGTGTGGAGAAAATAAATAAGGAAGTGTTATTTACCCCTTCTCACAACACAAGAACTAGGGGTCACCCAATGATATTAATAGGCAGCAGGTGTAAAACAAACTAAAGGACCTATTTCTTCACACAACCACACAGTCAACCCGGGGAACTCGTTGCCAGAGGATGTTGTGAAGGGCAAAAGTATTACTGAGTTCAAAAAAGAACTAGATACGTTCATGGAGGATAGGTCCACCAATGGCTATTAGCAATGATGGGCAGGGATGCAAAACCATGCTCTGAAGTGTCCCTAACCGCTGTTTGCCAGAAGCTGGGAATGGGCGACGGGATGGATCACTTGATGATTCCCTGTTCTGGTCCTTCCCTCTAGAGCACCTGGCATTGGCCACTGTCGGAACACAGGATACTGGGTGAGATGGGCCATTGGTCTGACCCCGTATGGCCGCTCTTATGCTCTAAAGGACTCCAGGGGGGACCAGGACTCTGCCAGCCAGTGCCCGCCCCTGAGAGCTGTTGTCTAGGGGGACAGGCAAGCGGAGGAGGAGAGAAAGGGGTAGAGAGTGAAGAAGCTGAAGCTCCCCCCAGAAATGGAGTTCCTGATCCTTATTGCTTCTCTTTCCTTTTCCCTTTTCTCTCTGTCCGTCTGCTTGTTCTAATTGTGCCAATCAGCTGGCATGAGGCTGGGTTACTCTAACTCCACTGTAACATTATCACACACTTGTGCTTTCACCCTCCCTCCCCCAGCCAGGGAACTGAGGCTTAGCAGGACCGTCGTCCAGCCGTGTCCAGAGTCAACCCAAAGCCACTGCAGGCTCCACCCTGCTATCCGGAGAGAGGGCAACCGACTGTGGTGAACTAACCACCAGAGCGATCAGACACCAGGGGACTTCTGCAGCTCTAGTGACCTCTTCTGGCCAAGTGACATATCTGTTACCTGGGCAAATACTTTGCCTTTGCCTGAGATACCTCCCAGGGGGGCGTTACAGGCTCATCCCAGAGCACAGGGGCTGCGTTCCCCAGGCTCAGTCAGTGGCTGTGGAGAAGAGATACTTAGGAAACTGGTGTAAGAGGGAGGACCTTCCCCCCATTAACATTATTGCTTATTACCTGCATGTGCTGCAAAGCTTTTGTTTGGGGACACAGGAAGTAGCAGCCACATGGCAAAAGAATAGAAAAGGCAGCTGCATCATCTCCATTTTCTCTTCATTCTTGCTTCTTACCTCTGGAGTAACTTTTCTACAAACTGTAGCACTAAACAAAGGACTGAATGATCCATCCAAGCTGTGGATGAGTTCCAGAGGGAATTTCAAGGCAGCAAACTCACCTATACTGCTAAGAACCTGATATATGGACTTTGAAGTCTCTGTATGTATGTGATTGCTTTACCTTTTAGCAACTCTCTTCTTGTTCTTTTTCCTTTATAATAAACTTTTAGTTTAGACACTAAAGGATTGGCTGGCAGCGTAGTATTTTGGGTAAGATCCAAACCAGGATCGGCTCTAGGCACAAGCAAACCAAGCACGTGCTTAGGGCGGCACAGTTCCAGGGCCAGCAAAAAAACTAGAGCCGTCCCTGATCCAAACTCATGTTGACCTGGTAATGTGGCTGACCCTTTAGGTTCAGAAGAACTTTTTGTATATGTGAGCAGAACTTTTAAATAACTTCTCACTCTATTGGACCTAGGTGCTGATTGGGAGCCAGAGAACTGGAATGTAATAAAGGGGGGCTGTGTGATTTCTTTTTCAGCTTCTTGATAACCAAGGGGGGTGGGAGATCAGGAACACAGTTTGTGACTGATTGGTGAGTCTAACTTCAATGTTAACCACCAGTTTGGGGAATATCTGCTCTATCTTTTACAGCCTGCCCAGACCTTGGCATTTTCAGTGAGGGCTGCCCCAGACACACCGGGTCACAGGAGGGGCTGGAAGGGGAGCATAAGGCCTTCGTGCTTGTACCTGTTCATGGCTGGATGGGATCTTGGGCAGATCACTGGGATTTTCATTATTTGGTGTTTCATTTTAGGGCTGAGGGTTTTGCAGGTACCTGGACGGGGGGGCGAGAACCAACTGATAACAGCGACAGGCATTGTGAATGTGATTCCCAGCTGTGTAAATCGACCTAGCCCCCCTGCAGTCAGTGGAGCTACACGAATTGACACCGCCAGACAATTCAGCCCATGTTTGGAGCCTTTCAAACTAATCTCCCACTCTGTCTATAAGCCCCCAAAAGGCGGCCCCAGTTCTCCCAGGCTGTATTGCTGTGTCATGGGGAAGTTTGTAAAGAGAGAAACTACTGCCCAGTCTGTGCCCATAACATTGGCTTTGCCCCGTCACCACCGGTGCAAAGATTAAGTGCTCCCAACAGGGCACAGGCTGGGGAGGGAGGTTTTTGTATCACTTCCCCATCTGGTTGTATCGCTGTGATGAGCACTCCCCGTCCATACAGAACAGTAATAATCAGCATCATCCTCTGCTAGGGCCCCAGCGATAGTCAAGGACATGGTGTTACCCGATCTGGAGCCAGTGAAACGCGCTGGGATCCCGGAGGGCCTGGTACTCGTGCTGTACATGATCAGCCGAGGAACATTCCCCAGTCTCTGTTGAACCCAGCGTGGGTAGTTATTATCAGTGATGGCCCCACTGCTCAGGCTACAGGAGAGGGTCACGGTCCCGCCAGGAGACACGAACTCAGATGTCTTCAGCGGCTGGAGCTGTTGGGAACTTAAACCTGAAACATGAGAAACAAGCTCATCAGAACTCCCCTTAGCACGGAGCACATCACAGCTTCTTAGCGTTACAGCTAATAAATTCTTAGTTTGATCATTCAGCAGATAAACCCCCACCACTTACCAACGCAGTAAGTGAGCAGTGTGAGGAGCAGAGGGGCCCAGGCCATGGTGGGAATCCAGATGAACTCGGCTTCCTGAGGCAAATGGGTCTCTGGCTGGGAACCTCCGATTCTCTCTTAAACCCGCAGCGCTGGAGAACGGCCCCTTCATGCAAATCTACTGCTCACTCCAAGGCTCCTGCCTCTCCAGTTCTAGCTCTTTCTTAAAGGGGCCAGAAACAACCCAAGGGAGGTTGTTTCAATGGGCTGAGAGCACAGAGCAGGCAGAGTCCCGCTCTCTGCCTCATTGATAACTCTGTGCTCTCTGGTGACTCCAGATGCAGTAGGACGGAGCATGGGAATGGTCTGTACCAGCTTCTCCCATTCCAACCCGGACCTGAGGCATTTGTCATTCTAGCCACAGGCCTCTGGCCAGTGCCACCAGCCCCCCGATTATCTGGAACATCTCTGTTCTTCCTATTGTGACCCTCCCACGTCAAGCCCACCCCGGACTGGAGATCCCGTCCACTTCCTAGATCAGAACAAAGGCCCCGAGTCCACTTAATGTCAGGCTATTCATTTACGAGTCCTTTCTTTGTCAGTTGGTCCCTGAAGAACCCACTTTGGGTCTTTGAAATGTCCTAAGAGAACAGGTGATCAGCAGACAAAAGGTTCAAGCTTCAGAGGCTAAGTCCCTAAACGGGGGGTTGAAATCCCCTCCTCCCCACGACTTCCTAGGAATTCCACTTCACACCTATCGTCCCAAAAGATTTGTCCTGCCTGCTACATTGTCCAGCATGGCCATGTGAAGGTCACAGTACTTCCCAGATAATGCGTTAAACCGTCTTCCTCCGAACGAAGTTCCCAACCATCCCACAATGCTCCATAGACATTTGCATTTTTAATACAATGGGCTCTTAAAATACTTCAACTTGATTTAATAAGATTCATCCAGAATATTGCTGGAAATTGCCACTGTCA